AATTGCTGAACTTAAGCAAACATTTATGATACAACTAATTATAAAAATTTCATATTTTTTGAGAAAAAAAACGATGAGCAATGTCTCTGCTACACTCGCCTTATTTAAAATTTTAAGAAAGGTCCACAAGTAATCAATCTTTATAAACACTTTTTGATAATTTGCCAATACTGATTATCTAAAAATGGCAAATATCAGCCCAATTAATCTGCCAACAAATTAATTGCATCTAAACACTAACTTTGTTGCTCTCTAACAGAAATCATATGGTATAGCTTGAGGGTTCAATGCATTTGTTTAGAGCCTATATTGTCCGTATTTGTATAAATGTACTTCTTTGCAACATTTACACAAAACATTAGTGTTTTTGAAAGTTCATCTGGAAATGAAAACAAAAGAACCAAACTACCAACCTGTCATACTGTACCTCCACTTTGAGCTACACTTAAGTATGCCCATGTGGGTTTTTTTATTCTTTAATTAGGAGAGGGAACGCTATCATCAGTGGGGCGTTGTTCACATACCCACACCTTGATACTCGCACTCACACACTAACCCGGGAGGATAACTAGCAGGTTTCCACAACAACAGACAGCATCCTGCCCACCAGCTCCCTCTTTCCTTCTCTCTCCTGTTCCATCTATGCCTTCATCTCATCCCTCTATTTATTCCATCTCCCTCTGGGCGTCTTTCCCTCTCTCCCTTCAAGAGTCCACTGAGACACAAAGTGTTTTTCTGATGTCAGTTGTGTAGGTGGATGTACGTGCTTCAGTTGAATAACAGCTGTGTCTTTAATTTCCTTCACTTCATGAGTCTTTCTATCTTACCTATGATAATTAAATTCCAAAATACAACTGTAATGATGAGAGGAGAGAAATGAGAGGATATAGATCAGACCCACTATAACACTGTTAGGTTTTTCCATCTTACTGTCTTACTCAAGATCTTGAAAGAGGGCAAGAAAAAATGTGACATGACAAAATGATAAGATTTACTTTGAAAATGTAAAAGAACCTCTTGACCTGGAGCTGATCTCCATCTCCAGCTTGTGTTGTATGTACGGTTTTTGTTTCTGTAACACGGGTGCTGTATTTCAGTATTTCTACAAGCAGGTCTGCTGATGTTGAACAAACAAGGCTGGGAACACATGCATATACACACACACACACACACACAATATAAGGCTTGTGAATTTTCACCCAAAGAACTGTATAGCCAGTGGCTGGAAACATTGAATTTTTCATGTTTAGAGCTGACTCCTTTTAAAATGCTAAACTTGTAAAAGGAGTTTTAAATATGAATTTCCTAGGGGAAATGAAATACATTGAAATACAATTATACATTGTAATTCTAAAAGAGAGAGTCTAAAGCTGCATCTCCTTGGCAAAAATAAATCTCCTGCAATAACCAGCGTGGAAGACATGGAAATACAGAAACACCACTGTTCTTTGTCCTGCACTGTCAAGGTTGTTAGTCCCAGTGTAACTATGGATAATGTATACCATGTAACCCAACACGGTATACAGTAACTGCTAGGACTACTTGAACAACCAAGACAGAGATTTGACTTATGATTCATCATTCATAGTTTCAAACAAAAGAGAAAAGGCTTTTAGCATGAAGAATAACCACGATAACCCATATAGATACCGTGTACCTCTAATAACATGGCTGTCCTGGGTTGCTGCCACCGATCTTCCTAAATCAAGTCAAGCAGGAGACAGGTGATAATGTTAGCCAACCACACAACTCTGACAACAGTGGATGTACTTGCCATGAAGGGGGCCTTCTGAAGTGTAACCTACCATAAGGTATTATCAAATGCCACTGAACATACTGTATGCACCAAGTAACACGTGGTTAGTTTAGTACAGTGGGTGGTAAGCTCTGAACATGCTAATATTAGTCTCTTACATTAGAGTAGATAAACACATAGTTTTATCCATTCCTTACATTTTTGATCTTGTACATTATTTGTCTGAAATACTCTTCCAGAAACATTCCTAACACCATTTCATTACCCTTATTTAAATCACACCTTAAGACTCATCTGTTCAAAACTGCTTATTCTATTATATCTATACCTGCATTTTATCCAGCACACTTTAGGTCTTTTTCATCTTATTTTATTAGCCGTGCTGTTATTTTATTGTTTGGTCCTTGTTATTTATTGCTTGCTTGTATTTGCACTGTGACCTTCGTTGACCTGAAAGGCACCTTTAAATAAAATGTATTACTATTATTATTATTATCTTTTGTTTTTGATAGGGTAAAAAAAGAAACTACCATCCAAATTCCCTATATGCAGGGTGTTACTCTTACTCTTATACAACTTAAATATGCAGAGATATCAGCAACGTGACAGTCGTGCTGCCTAGTTAAAAATCAGTAAGCTAATAGACAACTGGTCATCATCAGTTAACCCTAATAGTGAGTTTAGTTTTAATTAGAACCAAATACATGTGACAGTTTTAAGTTATTAATCTTTGTTAGCAGCTTCTTCTTTGATGTATCTCCTTCTTTGAAACCTGAGTGAAAGCTGCTTGAAGATTCATACAGCAGTGACTCCACTCAGGTCTATTTCAAGCCCACTATCATTGTGTGAGTGTGTGTGTAAGTGTATGTGTCACACCGCCCTTGGACATCAGCTTGAGGAATGTGTTGGGAGCAAGGCAAAACACTCGGTTGCCACAGCAACTAGTCAAGGCTGGCGAAACAGATGGGGGCATTATCAGAAGATGAGGTGAGAGTGAGCAAAGAAAAGAAATGGTAACAATAGTAGTTGAATATTTGTTACTATATGATCTACTGAGACTGAGGGAGAGAACTAAAGATCATGTCCATGTCCTGTGTCCCACTTTGAACACCTATTCATGCATTTCTCATCTTTGATTGGATTGAGTGGGACATCTCCAAGTCCTTTGGTTATTTTGTGGGGAAGACAGATGTAGAGTGTAGTTTAAACACTTCTCAATCTGGTCTCTCTCTGTTTCTTGTCTGCTGTCACTACCACTGTCCATGTCTAGTCTCGCTTAAATAATCTTCTTTCCTTCCTCTTTCCCGTTTATACTTTTTGGCTTTCATATCACTCTTCTTTAACACTTCCTTTTATTTTCCAGACACACCACTGATATTCTTTGGCCTTAGCTTGATCCTGAAACATATTTTATTAAATGTCTTAAACTGTAACCACTTATTACACTGAAGTCTTTATTTTCATTTTTAAAGTGACTCATCAGAAGAGAACTAACCTTACCTACCAACCATTAGATAAAGCAAAAACAGTGTTACATATCAGTATATGGAACTATGCTCAGAGGTATGAGAAGCTGATGCTATGCTTTGTCATACACAAGAGTAAATTTATCTTTCAGTCGAATGATTGAGTAAATAACTAGTAGATCAATTCATAATAAAAATAACCGTTTGCGCTGTAAATGTCCTCCTTAGTGTGACTGGGTATTCATCTGTTTTTGTAAAATGAACAGAGAAGACAGGTGTACAACCTCCCAGAATAAGCCTCTGACAATCAGACTACCACGTAGTTGTTCATCTGCAATACAGCATAATACTATCTCCTGTTAATTAAATAGAGCAATCTCAAAACAGTTAGCCCAGACAATCCTGTGACTGCTAGAAGGTGAGTTAGAGTTGGAGCCCAGTTGGGACCACACAGTCATCTACAGGTTAACATATGTTATATCACTGAAGCCTTCAGCCTTCAGCTTCTTACATGTCAACATCATCACCATCATTATGTCATTAATCCTCATCATCACCATCTACAACAACATATCACTGTCAGCAACACCAGTTTATCACTGTACTGTATATAGCATTATTATGTGTAATTATGTAATTAGGTATGGAACATTTAACTGAACTGTTTCCTTGTATCAAGAACAACAGCATTAAAGCCATTGCTGTCAAAGTGTCTTAGCATTTGAATCAGCATCCCACAGGAGGGTCATGAGGTCACACAATTTGTTTCCAAAACTGGCACAGTGCATGTGTGAAATATTGCAAAACCAAAGCTACATGTTTATTTCTAGCCCAAAAGTGAAGATTTGTAAATGTGCAATAATTTGGATTAGTGGGTGCCCACTCGACCATCTAGAAGCTGCACTTATCCATCATTACTCATATTTAAAGCTCTTGTATCGGAGTCTGTATCAGAATCAGAAAGGAGCTGAAAAAATGTGGATTGGCCCATCACTAACCGTAACCAGATTTACTTTATATCCAATTTTATACTTGTGCTAAGTAAGAAGAATTCACTGTTAGATAGTCTACATTTCTCTTGGTGTGAATGAAAAATTCTGCAACAAGAGCTTTACAAAGCTGTGACATAAACAACACCTTCCACCTGTAGTTCATGTGCAAATTTGCCATTCACAGTCACTGCACAGGGACAAAGTAATGTGCACAGTATCTACAGCATTGTCATGCACTGACCATGATAGATTCACTAAAAGCATAGTGATCCAATCAAAATAATATGATATTTTGCCAATCTCCATACAGATGCATATTTTTTCCAGGAGGTCTGATCAACAACCTGAAGCTGGTAGAGATCAGTATCTTGTTCAAAGACACCTTTGTCAGGTCTGATACACGAGCTGGGCTCCTGGTGCTCTGGTTGAGAGATGTACAGCACTCTGTGTACAGCACACAGTGCCCTCTGCCTGAGCTCCATCAGTCCTTTTCGCATTCATCCAGTGACTACTTGTTGCAATTGGGATGGGAAGGTGAGCATGTGGAGCATTAGCTCAGTGGTTCATGTTGACTGACGTCTTCAATTAGCCTTATTTCATTCACAGATTTTAACTTGAGAATATAAACAATCTTGAGACATTTCAATCTGTGGCTGTCTTGTCCCTTTGCTACATTTCAGTGTAACTGTAAATTCCCTGGTAGCATTTTTTGAAAATTCAGGGTACATGTCACTATGTGTATACTATGGTAGACACATTTAGAAAGTGCGTGCATGGATCACTGACCTTTCGTTCTTTGTCTCCGTACTCCAGTCCAAGTGTATCCATGGCACGGACTATGGCAGCCAGAGATTGGATGGTGTTGCTGTAAACAACAGGCTTGTACTGCTTTACGTCATCACCAGAGAAACCATCCTCATGGATGATCCTAAAGACACACAAACGCGTGGGCATTAGTTAACGGGTCAAGCAGTTTGGGGTTTGTTTTTCGGCACAAACATGATGACAATAATATCTCCTTACCTTACATACTCTTCATACAGATATAGACATGTCACAGTACACAAAAAGTCTAAAAACATAGATGTGTGTCAGGTGTGTGTGTGTGTGTGTGCATGTAGAGCTGGGTGTACTGCTCTGAAAATACATTATAAAAAATGAGATCAAGTCAACACCAGAAGTTGCATTTGATGTGTTCCTGGGATATATTGCAAGGGTTAGGAAAAGGAGGAAGAAGGCTATGGAAGAATGGGGGTGCAAGGTTAGACAAAAACACATGTGCTTAAAGGAGGACTGCAACAAAAATATGACAGAAAGAGCGAGTGCGACGAGGGGAGGGAGCAGAGTGTCCATGACCAGTAGGCAAAGCTGACATTTAGCACACAGAGCTAGCAGCAGCCTGTGTTTTAAATGTCATGCCGTCTTTCACTGAAGTTAACACAAGGGCACACCGACAGACACACTCAAACGTCAGTTAGACAGGCAGACCATACAGACAGACAAATCAGATGAAGTTAAACAGAGAGAGATGACAGGGAGATGGGCAGCTAGGAACAATAAGCAGGACAGGAAACAACTGCCTCATCCAGACAGACAGATACAGTTTGGGGCAACAGTGAGAGGAAATTCACAAAGACATCATCCCCCAGGATAAATTAATTGGGGTGAACAAGCCCTGCACAGCAAGGACAGAATCAAATTAGCTCTTTCTTTAATCATGTCTTTAAACAAGTATAACCAAGCAGCATTTCGTTCATCTAGCCCTGTATAAATGCTTATTATTGATGGTCTGCCCTCCTGAAACACTACAGAAATTGGTCCAATGGGAGCACCAACCAGTAGTGCCTATGGTGAAGGGGAAATGCTGTTTTAGGGTGTGTTCACACTAGGCGATCCATACCATGCCCAAGCACATTTGACCTCCAAAGTCCAGTTTGTTTCATAGTGTGATTGCTCAGTGCTGTGCCCAGGTACAGTTCAGTTCAGTTCAGTTCAGTTAGACTCAGGGCATGTGCTATGTGAAAGAGCTTCTCTTCAAACGAAAAGTTGCATTGTGGTGACGTAAGCATGCTCCGACCTGGATTGTTTTAAGTACAGTGTGAGTGCAGGCCAGCAGGGGAGTCGGGAGGAGTGACAATTGTGATCAGGCATGGTACAAGGATACTGTGCCTAGGGTGAGTACGCCTGTTAGAGAGCCTGTCACTAAAGTACCATAATTTGCTAGCCCTAATTTAGCACAACCTGCCAGTGGAATAACTCAGAAGAAGTAAAAGGCTCATTCCAAGACCACAGAGAACATAATCAAGCACAGAGGCTACTCCTGAAATCTGACTGAAATGACACTAACACAACAGAAAGAACTGAAGAACAAATGGATCTATTGCAGGAAGACCATGTGCGACAGTACTGCTGAAACCAAGAGACACTGTTCAGTAGATCTGCACATGCTGTCCTTTGAGAGGTTGCAAAGACCATTTTTCCAACTCAGAAGATAAGCATGGGGACATAACTGGGTATAAGAAAGACTGCTGCTGTGGTAATGCAGTAAGATGTGGGATAGCCGAATAAAGGGAACAGTTCAATGTCTTGAAAAAATGAGCTTCAATGATTTCTTACCAAGAGTGAGATAAAAGGAACAATACCACTATCATGTCTGTAAGCTGTGTAGCTTGAGTTAACGTAGTCTAATGAATATGTTGAACAGCCAGGCTAAATGTTTCCAGCCTTTGTGCTAAGCTAACCATTCCAACCTCATATGTATTATACAGAAATCAGTGGTACTTGTACTATCCCATTTTACTATCCTGTTGAATGAAGGGGAAACGGTTTACACAAAAATAGACTCTCTCTTGCTGATAATGACTGACCCTGAACAATAAAAACAAAAAACAGTCAACACAAATCAGTTAATATCCTGTATCTTTATCATTTTACAAAGATTATTGTTGGAACTGCAATGCAACAACATGATATTAATGGTATAGTGGGATTATCAGACATTTTATTTAGTTTCTTTTCCCCTCACATATACAAATCATGAGCTCACTGTTGTCAGTATAACACAGTCTACACGCATGCATGTGTGACCATGTTAATGTTGTGCGAGTCTGTGTGTTTTTTGGTCTCGATAACAGCATGGTCCTGGGCCTGTTAATTTTGCAGAGCAATTGGGCAGCATTCCAGTCCTGTGAAAATACTCCAGGCTTCTTTTTACATTGGTGACATTCACACCATACAAATCTATAGTCTGGTGCCAGAAAGAAGAAATGGTGTATGATGTTCACATCAGCCAACACATTTAACAAAATTACCGATACATATAAAGCAGAAGCATGGTGAATGAATATATTCTTCATCAGATCAGAAAGTTCATCCTTCCTTTCTTTGCACCAGAAAAGGGTGAAACAAGGACAAAAACTTAATTGGACACTGAAGTCTCTGCAGAAACAGTATGTGGAGCTGAAGATAGTCGGTGATGCATGTTTCAGTAGTCAGAGAGAACCTAAAAAAGCAGAACCAGGGACTCCAGAGCCCAGAGATCCTGGTGCTGCACAACTTTCTAACATAATACACATGATATATAGTACAACAGCTTGCTTTCTAGTACAATGACACTAAGAAATGTGTGCAATCTAAGAATATATAAAGACTTTATTATCAAAGACGGATTATTATTATTCCATAATATATAAAGACATCAATTTGATCTTTAACCAATTTAAGTAGAAATCAGTGTGGAAGGGTTGATGGAAGGACACAGCAGGATCAATACTGTGTTCCTAGAAAGTTCACTGCATTGCCCAAATTAACCCGGAGACAGAGAGAGAGAGCGAGGCAGA